GTGCGCGCGTTGGTGTCTGAGAGTTCAGTGTATCAGTCCAGGCACGGAAGCTTTTCTTAATTGGCAAATGTGACAATACAACACAAGAGGATATCGATCTTCAATCGGATGGGGATTGATTGAGCTCATCATCCTCCCAGGTGTGTGTGTGTTGCAGTGTGTGTGTGTGTGTGTGTGTGTGTATCGATCAGCAGCAGTCCATTCAGTGCGGCGCAGCAAAGGAATTCACTCCTCTGCTTTATCTGCGTTTGCTTCTTCTTCCACGTGACGGCGGTTGATCGCCACTAACCGCCGTCCCTCTGCCGTCTTTATTTTCTCCTTTCCGTGTTTGTTTCCTCCTCCCTCGTCCTTCCCTCTTTAGAAATGCGGGGAACCTTGGGATGGGAGGTTGTGTCTCCCTCTTGATTTTATCAAGCGCTCTTCAGCAGCTGTGGAGACAAAGACACAAAAGAAGGTGCAGGGTTATCTTTTTTTTTTTTTTTCTCTAATTATTTGTACCTTGGAGCATGCGTCATTCAGCATATAGTTTGCTTTAATTGGTTTAGAAAAAAACTCTGACGAGAGCTTTTTATGATCAAGAAAAAGGAAAGCACTTACAATGTTACTGTCTCTAAATGTAACTTTAGATTTTTTTTAAAAATCGGATTGATTGATCTTACATTCTAACCGACTGTGACTGGGCTGTGTAAAATAAACCAAATTACATATTAGGGTAAATAAACAGACAGTATCAATTGGCAATAATGGGATGAATAAATTCCCAAATAAATCTCCACAGAATGTATATGTGTGTTTGTTGGAACTGCAGTCTTAATAGAATGCCATGTTCCACCGTTATTAAACTCTGGGGATGTGCCACCAAATCCTCCTGTTTATCTGGTTGAATTTTGGGATTCTTTTTCTTTAGCTGTCGCACTCTTTTTCTATATTCACTCCAACAATCATCCATATCCCCAATTTTTTAGAGGGCCTATTATACCCCCCCAAAAAAGCCTCCAAGCAACAAAACCTGCTCAGAAAAGCGAGACACATGTCCAGAGTCTCTTTATTCACAGACTGTGTCAGAGTGGTTTTAAGTGGATTTCCCTTCAGCAAATCACATTAAAGTCGATCATAAATAAACTAAAGCAGATTTTGCTCACTGTAAGTACAGATGACTGTGTTAGTGTTAACAGAAACTCATAATTCTGGTTTTTATTACCTTGGATTGTCAACATTGGAGGATTCACTGCCTGCATGTTGACACACTTTTCCAAGTTATGATGCCAACTGGGAAAGTGGGAAGCTTACAAACATTTTTTTTCTTCCCAGTTTTAATTGCCATTACTGAGACTGGATGTAGCTGTCTGCTCAGAACGCAGCTTGTATTTATAATAAATAACATATGTGCATACGGGAACGTGGAAAAGAAATGTGTTGGGGCTTTGAATGGACAGATATTTGTCGATGATCACATACTCAAAAACCACTGGTGGAGTGTTTCCTAAGAAGATGGGGCCATTTTGGTGTGTTTGCATTAATAATTTGATGTGTTTGCACGGGAAAACAGGAAGCTACGACAGGATGCAGTGGTGACAGATGGAGAGGGAATGTGTGGCTCGGGATAAAACAAAGACGGAAACAGAGGCCAGGAAGAGAAGGGGAGGAGGAGGAAAAAGAAACCATGGACAAAAATGAGGTTTACCTTATAGCGGCTGGCCTCTGAGATGATTTTCCATATCAGCGGGCCAGAGGGAGTGGACAAATAGGATTTTATCCTCAACTTGCCAACAGAAAACAGACAGAGAGGGTATGGAGTCCGGTGACAGGGGAAAAAAAAAGTGGAAGGGGGGAGAATAGGAAAAAGATGCGTAAATGGAAAAAGATGGGGCGGGGTAGGGGGGGGTAGGGTAACGATCTGATCGGTTCAGAGATTAAAGGACAGCTGTGGGAAGATGGTCAATAAGGAATGCTAAACATTCATGCCAGTAAAGGGGCTAATCAATAAGAGGGCTGCTTAAAATCAGAGCAACAAGTTTCTGAGAGTCCCCCTTAACGCGTAACACCTTTTTTCCTTCAGCTGATGCTCTGTGCACGTGCCCGATACGAGCTGGGTTTTATTACCAACGGCTGAAAGCTCTATACCCATCTACAGTTGCACAAGACAAGAATTTTGGAGTGAAAAACTGTTAAAACATTTCTTTTTAAAAGCAAAAAAACAAAACATATTAGGCAGAGCAAGGACAGAACAGAGAAAATAAATGTCAAGATGGTTCTTTTTCTTTTGCTCTAAAATGTATTATGACAACAGAGAGGGAAAATATCAAGCGCAGAGGGTGGTGTGTGTGTGTGTGTGTGTGTCTGTGTGTGTGTGTGTTTCGGGGTCCAGCTGTATAAATAGACGCGCACACACCCAGATTTGTCTCTTAATACATGCCACGGCTCCATCTCCAGCCTGATTTCTCCCGTGCCGTCCTCCTTGTGTGTCTGTTGTAGTTGGTACACTTGTGTGTGTGTGTGTGTTTGTGTGTGCGTTTGTCAGAGAGAGATTGGCAGACAGCTGAAGGGAGTTGTGGTTGTGGTTGTCAGGGCGTGGGGACGTCACTGAGGTGAGTGGGGCCGTGCGCGCGGACTGTTGTGGTCGTGGTAATTGCTTCTGATGCGACGCGGAGTTTATGGGTAACGACTCAGCCCACCGTCTCTCTCCTTTACTCCATCCACTGACTAATTACCTGATTCCCTGTGGATTTGTTTCCCCCCCTTCCCCTACAACTGTTCAGTTTGTTCCTCTAAATGAGAGCGTGCTGGCGATTGGAGCATTTAAACAAAAAGCAAAATTGAACCCATCTTCCAAGTTTAGAAAGAGATGAAGAGCTTCTCCCCCTCTTGATTAATCCAAAATCTCATTGAAAGGTTTTGCAGGTCGCCGGCCTATTTTTCAGTAACATCAAGCCCAGCTCTAGCTGAAGTTCTCTGGGGACTTTCTGTGAGACATCAGTGTTTGTGCACAGGAGGCATTCCAGTTATGTTTTTAGTCATCAGTCTCAAAGAGACAGCGGAGAGGCATTATTATTTTTATCAATACCGCTGTTTACACATGGCCTGAGAACCAGACGAGCTGAGAGCTCATGTTTCATTTGCTCTGGCAGAATTCAGCTGGCCCCTCTCCCCTTCAAACACATTTCCAACCGGCCTCGCTCGGGCAAATCACAACCGGCCCTTTGTGCCGGTGGTTTTGATTCCCCGCTCAGGGCTGCGTCACACGTCTGGTGGCTCTGCAGGTCTGTGCGCATACCTGTGGGCATTCGGGTCTGTTCCCGCCGATGGCTCAACGACGAGACACAACATTTACAGAATAGTTAGTTAGAGTTTCAGAATAGTTAGCACGTTTCTGCATTTGTCCGATGACACAAGGCGAGTTTACCCAGGCCGGGTTTGACTAGAGCTACAGAACAGCGGTGCGCCTCATTTATTCTCTGTGCTTACCAAACAGCTCGGTACTGTGATAATGTGCAGTTTGGCAGATTGTAAAGTGGAAACCAGGCGTTTGCATGCAGACCACTTTTGTGCAGGTGTAGCTCCCGGATTTGTGCGGCCTCCTTGCTCCCATACGCAGGTGTAGCGATGGCTGGGATAAAATTTACTCTGGGGAAGCTGTGCACAACAATGTGTGTGTTTATCTTGCGACAAATGGTGGTGTATCACAGAATCGCTGGGAACAGCGGCCTTCATGTTGAGTTTGGAGTTTTTTTGCTGCTCAAACTAAATAATGTGATCAATTTAGTCCAGAATAAAACTGATGTCGTTAAAGGAATGGATGGAAACGACTCCAGCCCATAAATGTAAGGACCATGACATTTTCATGGTCTGTTTGAATATAAGAAATATAATTTTTCATCATCAGAAGGGGAACACAGGGCCCTTTGAGCCATCCAAAACATAAAAAAACATCACTTTAAAACATCACATTGACTAGAAAACCAAAATAGGGACTGTTATTAAAACAATATCATTATGGTTTGAGGTGCGCCAGAGCTTAAACCTTTTTTTAAAAATATCTGTAAAATATCTGATTTGTAGTTTTAATGAAAATTCGGAGATCATAGGTTTTGTTTTTGTTCTCCATTAATTATTTTTGGTCACGGTTACATACTGGCCGCACCTGAGGAATTGCAGGTACAATCCTCTCCGAGTGACCTTCAACATTCAATTAATTAATTAGTCCCGCCACCAAAGTAACAAACATCTCACCAGTGAAAAATGTCAGTTCGGACAAAAAGTTTTGAAATTCAAGTTGCAGATCAGGCAGACCTCAGGTTCCACCAAATGTGGGTCATTTAAAAAAAATAAAATCTTTCATGTAGTTTGAGGAAAAAATCTAAATCAGACCTACACAACACCAGTGTGCTGCAATTGATTACATTTTCTGTAACAAAATAACACTTCCTAAAAAGCCGCTTGATGCTTATGTCTTTAACTAGTGCCACAGACATTTCAGCAGACAAATAACTCAAGCGTTTTGAAATGAGTTGTAGGCTGTAGAAATTTCCATTTAGCGACAGCATTAAATATGTATTCTTTTTTAACCTCTGAAGAAGTTTGAGTCCCCTTTACACTTTTCTCATCGTCTGTAATTCTACTTTATCATGGTCACCCGAGAGTACCTCTCGCCTTCAAAGAGCCTAATTCAATCCGCTATGAGCCCTCTAACCCTGTCTCTCTCTCTCTCTCTTTCTCTGACGCTTAGGTGCCTCCTTCATGGGCTCCTTTCTGGCTCGGAGTCTGGGGTCCCCGCCCTCACACCCTGCTCACCCCTCTGGTCCCGCCGCATCCCCGTCCTCCCCCTCCTACAGAGCTGGACCCCACTCAAACGCTTCCCCTATCTGGTTCCACCACTCGCACGAAGGTAAGACACAAATGCGGCGCGCGCTCAGTCGCACAGGAAGCAGCCCGGGCCTCCGCCTAATCCCTAGTCTTGGTTTGGGATCAGATTGGGATGAAGCCATTAAGTGGTTTAACCAGCACTGATCTGAGGCCAAAACACGTGCGGCAGCGATGCCTCAGATGATGCCTCTTATAGTAACACACACATACCCTTCTCTCCTCGGTGTGTTTGCCAGCAAGCATGTGGTTTCGTGTTTGTGGTTGTTTTCTAGTACAGAACTCGAACACCACGACTGATGCTCGACTGAAACCCTCCTCTTCCTTCTCGCCTTAGACTGTGAACAATCAAGCAGGAATAATTACACGTCTGATTTCAAATTTAATCGAACCTTAACCTGCATCCACTCCGCATCCCAACTCATACTTTATTCCAAAGGGGTTGCAGTACGTCTCTCACTTTTAGGGGAAAGTTCCTCACCCACACGCAGTCATTCGCTGAAACTCATCCTCATTTCACACACACACTCGTCACAATCCCCTCCTCTTCTGACCGCAGCACCACCCTAAGGGCCCCCTCTGGGCTAACCGAACTCCAACGGCCCCCTTCCTGATCAGACGTGCACACAGTGAAAAAGAAATTGCGCATCCACATATATCATGTCCTCTTTTGACTGTTAACCGTTTGTGGTGAACGACCAAGCCTGACTTAGTTATCTGTCCCCCTCAGGTGTGTGTGTGTTTGAGTGAGATGTGTCTAAAGAGATAACATCTCAAGAAAACCTGAACAGAGAGAGTTTCCGGCACAGGCTGGGTTTCTCAACCAACTGAAAACAGACTAAATGTGAAATTTCATGTGAGATTTTCATGTTTATCTCCTTGACTTAAGAGAAATAAGCCAGTGATAAAGTTTAGGAGGAGCTTGTAAACAGCTACATTGGAATTTAGTAAGAAATACACTTTCTGAGCATCATCTGACCATGTACAGACAGTATTTTTCCCCTCATTTTGGAGTGCTCAATAACAAAAATAATGAGGAATTCCACTCAGGTGAGTCATCTTGAGCATTCTGGATTTGTGTATGCTGGGGCACTTTAATCAAACTGTGGTTAATATTATTCATTCTTCACTCTCTAATGTTATTTTGAGGAAAATGTTTTCTATCAGAAGGGCCTGTTTTGATTTCTTTTACCTACCACTGACGCCATTAGCCACTTGTCTAAACAATAGCATGTTCACACTTGTGACACTTTAAGTGACTTGCAACCTTAATCTTTAATGGCTTAGAGTTCAAAGTGTGAGCACAGCCGAAGGGTGTGAGTAAAACTGCTTTTTATTTCCCTCCTATGAATTTTAATGCGTTACATCCCACTGATGCTAAAAAGCTCAGATTTGATTTGGGCAAATAAACCAAACACATTGCTTCTCTAACCCATGAAAACAGCACATGTTACCACTGTGCTTCAAGTTTTTTTTTTAAATATAGGTGGCAAACTATCTCATAAGAGCCATTTGGCACAAAAACTCTCCTCTGGTGCCACTCTGAAGAGTTTTGTTTGGACGGCCGTTTCGTTCGTGGCAATTAAGCTCTGAAAATGAGCACTGAAGTTTCCTGGTGTGACTATCTCAAACCAGATTCATAGAAAGAGTCAGAGGTGAGGCCTCAGCCTGAATGCAGGAGAGAGTAAAAAGGGAGTAAAGAATGTGTGGTGTAGAGGGGGGAAAAATGTGTGTGTGCGCCTTCCAGACAGATTTTGTCTGTGTGCCTCAGCTTTGATGTTCAAACACATACACAAGTGTGTACACACTTGCCAGCACACACACACAGACACACACACTTACACACACACACACACACACACTGCAAATGATTGTTTTTAAGAATTCAAGCCAGGGAGCTCCAGTAGGCGGTCTGCCAGCTGGCCAGGGTCCAGACAGTGGAGCGTAGCCAGCACAGAGAGAAGAAACCTGCCTGATACACACAGACACGCACATATTCTCTCAGATATTACCTTACACATGAAAAAAAACTCTCCCCTCTCTCCCCGGTGGACGCACAACTGTACAGTCGCTTGCCCTCTTCTCTACACCTGTCCTTGTTTTTTTTTTGTTTCTTTCTTGTTTCTCTATCTTCTCACATCCCTTTCTCCCCTCCCCTCCTCTCCGCTTCCCTTTTTACTTCCCCCCTTCATCTTCCATCACCCCCTCCCACCAGCACACAATCCCCTCTCCACTCGCCTCTCGGCAGCCCCAACCTGGGAGCTTTACAGACACTCGTGCTCTTCGGATGTCTCTATTTTCTTTTCTTTCCACTGTCATCTCATGACTAAACTCTTCCATCCATTCCTTTTTTCCTCTCCTCCCATATGTTACTTCCCTCCACCTTTATGGGAGGAAGTAACCCCCCCCCTCCCTATGTTTTTTCATCTCCCTTCTATCTCTCCTTCCTCAGTTTTATCACTAATCATTACCCAGAGGATTGACCTTAGATGTCTGATAGAGCCTTTTGGCTAATTGTCACCGTTTAGATTCAATGGTTGTTAACCAGTTGGAGTAATCACACATACACACCGAATGAAGTGCACACATTCGTGCATTTACACTGCGGCAGAAGCACGCGGAGCCCCCACACACTGACACTCTCATGCTGGAAGCCGTGAGGGGGTGTTGGTGGTTTTGCAGTGTGACTGTGGAATGCGTAGGATGAGTTTTTATGGAGTGCTGTTTACTTTGGCCACTACCGTTAAACTTTTAACGGCTGCCAATTAACGGGCCGGCAAGGACACTCTGTGGGGCATGAAACCAACTGCTGGATAACACCCGCTTGTACACGAACACGCAAAAAACCAAAGCATTTTTTTCACTTCATCGTGTGGGAATGTTTGTCTTTGGTGTTTGTGTGCTAATATACAAGTTTGAGTTTTGTGATGTCATCCACTCAACACAACCACGAAGAGTCTGTCTCTCTCTATCATACGATGCAGTTCAATGCCCTTGAAGACGAGGAACAGAGCGAAACGACCATTTACCTCCCAGTGACCTCCTGGGATGAGTCAGTGTGTGTGTGTGTGTATTAAGAGTCTGCAAAGTTTCATGCTATTTGTCTTTGGTTTGAGTGAAAAATGTGTTGTTTTTTTTTGTAGCAAAGCAAATTCCATCCAGTTAAATCCCGCCAACACTTGGCAGTAGCTGTCAGTTGTGGTTTTTGTCACCATTTTGTCCACTGTAAATATTGTCAACATATCTGGCATGTTTGTGCAAAAAAGTGCATTTATGGTAAAAGTAGCACTAAATGACCACAGTTTTTCAGTGTTTTCTGAGATGTCCCCATTACATGATGGATTGTGGAGATAAACTGTTTGTTTAGAGGGCTGTTGAATGTCAGCAATGGACAGAAACATCAATTCTCTCTAACTCTGCCTCCCACTGACAGGGTACCCCAGCTATTCAGGAAGTCTTGCTTCTCCTTTTCTCCCCATGAGTCCCCTGGATCACCATAGCAACAGTCTCTATGGACAGCATCGCTTCTATGAAACTCAGAAAGGTAGGTGTGTTGCATGTGAATGTAACCGAGTGGGAACATTTGTTTTCTTAGACGGACTGCACTCATAAATTGCTTATTCAGCATCACCACAGAAATAGAAACAGTTGGTAACCTGGAGTCGAGTTGTTCAAGGCGGCTGGTTTGCATCTTACCCATTTTTTCTTTTCATTCAGATCACTTTTACCTGAGAGGCCTTCCTCCCCAGCCTCCGCTGCTCTCCACCAATCACAGCCTTCCTCCGCTGTCTAGGACTGCCCCGGGCCACCCACTCGGCTCTTGCAGCAGAGAGACAGACGGTGGGGGGGGGAGTGGGAGGGGCACCAAGGATGTGGGCGACAAAGGGGTAACGTCAAAGGAGAGAGAGCGATCGAGCAGCAAGGAGCGGCACCAGGAGAGCAAAGACAAGCAGCAGCTTCACCATCACCATCATCACCACCACCACCACCATCCTCACCAGACGAACCCTGCCACAACTCCCTCCGGCCCCCATCACCGAGCCTACCCCCACCCTGCCCTTCTGCCTCATCTGGTGCTCCAGGGCCGGGAGGAAGACCACAGACACTCTCTGGAGCGACACAAGGATTACAGGGACGGAGACTCGGGCGGTCAGGGGGTGAAACATATGAGTGCCTGTAAATTGTCCAGTAGCTCGGGGGCGGAGGCCGGCTGCGGAGGGAAAGGCGGGACACTGAGCAGCTGCAGCGGTGGCGGTGGCGGGATGGTGCGACCCCCATCAGGAGGCGGCAGGCGGGGCTCGAAAGATTCGCCCATCAACGGAGAAATGAGGATCAGCGAGGCCTCGGCCCCGTCGCCTGAATGTATGAGACGAGGGGCAGCGGTGACGGCCATCCTGGCGCCCCCGACCCCCCACTCCGTGCCCTCGTACTCCATGCCCCCGCCCGCTCCGCCGCCGCCCCCTCACGCCTTGCACATGGGCTCCACGGTACCCGGAGGGTGGCTGCCGCACACGCACCACCACCCCCATCCCGAGTATTACCGTCCTCCACCCCCGCTGACCCTCGCATCCTCTAAAGACCCGGCGCCTGTCCACGGAGGGGCCGGCAGGGAGGGGAAGGCCATCGGCCCGACTTACGTGCCTTCAGCCGGGCCACAGGGAGACGCGGCGGCCCCCGATTGTCGCGGAGCAGGGGGAGCCGGGAGAAAGGCAGAGGACAAAGGCGGAGAGGGACCTTATGAAAGTTCGTGTCAACACCACAACCGCCTTAGTAGCTGTCAGAGAAAGGAGAAATCGCAGTCGCATCAGCAGCAGATCGGATACGACAAAGCCGACAAACCTCCCGACTGGAGCCGCCAGACAACACACCACCCCCGCAAGCCCGGCTGCAGCGCCAGCTCCCAGCCCGAACTACGCTCCTGCAGCATGGAGACGTCTTCGTCCTTCAAAGACGTCGTGGTCGTGGAGGAGGCCTCCCGTCCCTCAGACCCTTCAGATCCCCACGAGACGCAGGGCACTTCCAGGAACGGTCCGGACACCGGCACCTCTCCGTTCAGGGACTGTTCTCTCTCAGGTCCCGATGGTAAAGTAGTGGGGTTAGGACCGGCAGTTCAGAGGGAGGGGCAAAAAATTGCAAGAATACGGCACCAGCAGCACAGCAGCCAGGCAGGGAGTTCGGAGGAGAAGGGAAGAGATGGAAGTCAAACAGCACCTTCATGGGGGATTCGAGGAGGCCACCAAGAGGAGCATAGGAAAGGTAGCCTTCACGTTGGGAAAGGCGTCCATCCTCATCAACCTCCACCATTGTCCCGCTCCTCCCCGCACACTACTGACGGTGATGGCAGTGCAATGAAGAACCTTATGAACTACAGCTCCCAGCAGCCACTCATGCTGCCCCACCGAAGCCCCTTCGGAGGTCTGGGCTGCCTCAACAAGGGAGGAGAGAGGTCCGAGAAGGGGGACAGAGGAGGAGCTAAAAGCAACACCTCTCAGCAAGAGACTTCCAAACAGTCTCTCCCTCCCCGCCGGTGCTCCACCAACGAGGGAGAGAGAAGCGACAGAGCGGCGAAGGAGGCCGGGGAAGCCGGGGAGGGAGAGGTCCGCCAGCCTCCGGTGGGCATCGCGGTGGCGGTGGCCAGGCCACCCCACCGTTCCCCAGACAGCCCCGCTGGACACAGCAGACAGGGGAGGGTGCTGCCCAGCATTAAAGGTCAGACGCCCCCCCCCCCGTTTTTTTTACGGCCCCTTTTTTTTTTTTTACTGTCCCACATTTTTAAAGCTCGCTGAAATAGGACAACTTAGTCGAGCTTCAAACATATTCTTTACCATATCATAAAGGTAAAAAAAATCTCTCATGTTATAGTAGGTGTGAGGAAAAAAGGACAACTTCTAGCCTGCAAAAAATACTGTTACCTGATTTATGTACCAAAGCGCTTGTGCAGCAGCTTGTGCAGTAGTTCTTAGCGTCACTGTTCTTTTGTACTTGTGATTCAGGGGTGTCGCGCCCCGTGTACCCCCTTGGTCGGGAGGCAGATGAGAGGAAGAGGATAACAGAGGACCAGATCAGTCTTCATCACCTCGACAGAGACAGAGACATGATCATTAGGTAATGCCGCAAACACTAACACCTCCACGCACGCACATAGTAGCATCTATTCAGTTTTCATCATATCTGATAAGCTGCAACTCTTTTATTCTCCCGGCTTCTTTCTTCCCGTCGGAGGCTCTGCTTCACTTCTCTTTCAACCCCTCACTCCATTTACTCCTCTCACCCTTTGATGTGGCTTTTCCTGTACTTCCTCACTCTCATGCTTCCCATCTCTCTCGTTCTCCTTAAGATGAGATGCGGTGCATTAATGTTACAGGAACTAATACAGATGTCTCTGAAGTATCAGCCTCTTATTATGTAGTCATATTAAGGGAAAAAAACATATAATGAGAACTCACAGACCAGGCACAAGATGATGGCTCTCCCTGTTTCTCTCACATTTCCTTCTCTTGATGATTATAATGGTAGTAGTGGTAATGACGATGACATGGATGAAGATAATGATCGTAATGATGGTGATGATAATGACAATAAGAGGGATTATCATCATAATGACAAAGTTCGCCTCGCCTAATGCCACAACAGGGAAAACAAGGACTGCATGGAGTTTGCCAGGATTCACCCGAGTAGCGGTTGCCACGGTGACCTGACCTCTCACCTCCTGGTCCCCGGAGGAACCAGTCAGCTAGGGACAGACCCCGCTGCACACTCTCATCCAGCCCATCACCACTGGATGCAGAGGACAGGAAGTCCCTCCCTCTGGATGGGCCATTCATACAGTGAGTAGAGAGGAGATAAACACTGATCCAGCCTTTTTTAAATGTATTAGCACACGCTGGCGTTTTTTAATAGATGATGTAAACATTTAATTTTTGCTTTCACCGACCGCATGGTGTGCGTCCGCTTTCATTCCAGGTCTCGGCCACGTAGGGATGAGTCCAAGCTTCCCACCAGGTCTGCCCAGCCCACTGCAGCCCGTTCTGGGTTCACTTACCCAAGATCCCAACTCCCCACTCGTGGTCCTTCCTACAGAAGCTGGGCCTCACCACCCCCTCGGTACGATAACCATCCTCTCACAGCAACAACAGGATACATACACCCAACAGAATCTGTAGACATTGTGTTATTTACAGCCCCACTGCCCCCCCATTTTTTCCCGTTTGTACCATGAAAGCTGCTGCTTCTCTCCCAGAGTTTTAGTGTCTTTGGCTAATCATAATATAATGCTCAACTAAGTCCCTCTGTCAGTGGGATGATGTTTTATAGCTTCGTTAATGGGAGCAGCTATTCCATTACCCCCCCTCTGCATGTGCCCAGCATTATGCAAACCATTTGAACTGGTGTTTCATCTCCCTAGTGGCGGAGCACTGATGTGTCTGGGCTGGACTTTTCCCCCTTCGTGTGTGTGTGTGTGTGTCTGTTTGCCTTGATGTGTGTGCATGGACATCTAAAGTTATGTTCATGTCTGAAACAGTATATTTTAAAGGTTTTGGTGGACATCTCAGATTGCTAGAGAGAAAAGACTTCTGTGCCCGGGCGTGTGTGTGTGTGTGTTCTCCGTGTGTGTGCGCGTGTGTCTGTGTCAATGCTGCTTTGCAAACAGGCTGTGAAATTTAATTATCTCCCGCCTCCCTTGACTCACTCCGTGAGAGTTCCTGCAGAGAGGGGAAGTGCATCCACTGAACCCTTCCCCTGGGAAACATTAGCCCACTCAGGCTAATCTCACAGAACAAAGGTTCCCAGCGACAAGGCAGCCAAGAAGGGGATATGTGTGTGTGTGTGTGTGTGTGTGTGTGTGTGTGTGTGTGTGTGTGTATGACCGCATGTGTGTATTTGAATCTGTGTTTAAGGGTGATGTCCTGACAGAAAAATGCGTGTCTCTATTCATAAAGACATCATGTGAAAAAATAGTTTGACAGTTGCATTCAAATTTAACACAAGGGCAGTTCTTTTCAGTGGGAACTAATATATATTTTTGGAGAAAGCTGTGTGTCACTTCGTTGGTTTCCTCTTTGTGATCTGCTTTTATATAATCTAAATCATACCAAAGAAAAATAAAGTTTATCACTTTTCCTGGTCCTTCTTTTAGATGTTCTGGAACAACCGGGTCTATGGTCCCCTATGTACGGAGCCAGAGGCCACCCCCCCCACCTGCAGCACCACCCTGTCTACTCCCGCTCCCCATTCCTGCGGCAGGGTGTGCAGGAGCTGTACGCCTTGCAGCAGCAGCACCGTGCCATGGAACACATGCAACGCCTCCCCTTAGGACAAGTGAGTCTGATACCGGAATGAACCACAAACAGGCTTTGTCTAAAATGTATGAGATGTCGTTTAAGGCAAAACTTTGGGTTTGGCAAGATTCAGGACGTGTTAAAATGATGTAAAATTATGTTAAAAAGGAGTAATCTTCTTCTTTTCAGCTGCCATTAGCAGAATAAATAAATCTTAAAAATGTTTATTCAAGGCGGTGACTTCCTGTTCTTTAGGAAATTTTTTGAGACATTAGTGTGGAGTGTTTTGATCTCTCGAACAGTGTGTGATCACAGCTGGAGATTCATTACCAAGCATGTACACAAAATCTCCCATTATCTACAAAATCTTGTCTGATCTTTTTCCTCTTCTTTTGTCTTTCAAAGAGAAAGCATGAGGAGCAAACCATCCCCATAGAAGACTCCCGTAATGAGAATTCTTCCAGGACCCCATCCTCCTCCTCCTCGTCTTCATCCACCGCCTCCTCTCATGCAGCCAAACCTTTCTCTCACACCCCTCCTCCAACCAAGACCTCAACGCCATCCCCGGGACTGTGTCCCAGCAGTCGTCAGTCGCCCTGCTACCACTCCCCTTCCACGCGTCTGCACCCCCCAAACCCCCTGACCCCGACGCCCAGCCCGGCCGCCGCCGCTCCACGCTCGCCGGCGCTAAGCCCCGCCCCCTCGCATCTGGCCAAGGGGCTGGACAGGGGCAGCGACAGAGGAGAAGGGCAGCCACCTCACGACTACCCACAATCATTAGAGCCAGGTGTGTGTCCGAGCCCGTGTGTTTATCCATCAACGCTGAGTCTAAAAGAACTGTACCAGCAGGTTGAACTCTGATTATAAAAATAATACAAAGACAGCAGGGAAGGCAGATGGAGAGATATAGTGCTGGGGAAAAAGGATGCAGAGATGGAGGCTGCTGCTACTGCGGCTGCTGAAATGTGGCACAGGTCTTTGAAGCGTGGCACTCTTTTGATTTTGCAGAAATTGTTTGAAGCAGGTCTGATCCCCTACTCTGTGTGTCCTTGAGTGTATGTGTGCACTTTTTTGTCCGAGCAAGCTAAAGAGGGACGGTGGGCAGGCCAGTCATTAAGGTCAGAGAAAGCATATGTGCGCTGTTGGTGTGTGTGTGTGTGTGTGTGTGTGACATGCCGGTGCGCTTGTGTGTGTGTGTCGCAGGAGGAAGGTCAGCGGTTTCTTAAGACAGAGCCTTCTTATCCTTCAGCGGTCCTTGGGAAGTACAGGCGGAAGGATACACATTTATCTGGCTGTGTTGTCAAGGGGCGGAGGGATATCATCAATAATAGGAGAGCAGGGGTGACAGGGCTGCTGCTGCAATCATAGGAAAACAGCAGGGTGTCATCAATATCCCACGTAGATCTATATGCGCGCACTTCTACACACAGCTTCACGCACTCACAATAAACGTACACCATACACACTTGTGTACACAAACTCACCGTGTTGTTAATGTATTATGGCAACTGTAATCACATGCTCAATCCTGTCAGAATATCAATGTTTTTTTTTTTTTTAAGTGAATTTGTTGGCTTCTATTATTTATTTATGTGTTATTACCGGTATAAAGACGGTCAGTTTTATGTCTGAAATTGACCTTTGCTCTCTTCTCTTGTCACCAGACCTGCCACCTGTTTATACCTTCTCTCCAATCTGCATGGGCTACAAGGCTGGGCCATCGCCTCCTGAAGCGCGACTGGCTGAGCAACCCATGGTTGAAGAAGCGCCAGCGGAGCCCGAACCAAAGTCCCTCCCACGCCCGTGTCACATCCAGTCCCTCACAGTCGAAGAAGAGATGAGGAGTGAGGAGAATGGGGAAGACTGCGAAGTTGCGGAATCCCAGACTGGAGTTACAGAAGAGACTAGGGAGGAAACAAAAGCCTGCTCTGTCTCGGAGCCCCAGAGCAAGATATCTGGACTGCAGCCATGCCCTTTCCCTGCTCCAGTCACAGATCCAGCCTGCCCAGCAGGCATAACCCTAAAAGAGGATCTCTCTCTGGGTTGCTTAGGCCAGAAGGCAGGCCTGGAGGAGTCCCAGCTATCCATAGAGCTGGAGAGTGGTGGGGAGCATGAAAAGGAGGACACGGGAGAAGATGAGAGAGAGAAAATGGAGCCTAAATCGGCTGAATGTACTGCCTCTATGCCTGCAGAGAGTGAGAAGGACAAGAATTGGTGCGAAAAGGGAGACAACGTGGAGGTGGTAGAGGAGAAGGAGGAGAGTAGGATGAGTCCGGCTGAAGACGTGGTGGAGTTGGCATGTAGATCTCCTGCTCTTTCCCCATCTTCTGACCCGAGACTTGCTTCCAGAGCAAGTACAACAGCCCAGCTTGAAGGGGCCTATATGTGGAGCTTGGAGCTCTTGATTGCTGCAGCTCTGTGTGCAACCAGAGATGCCTTATACCCACCGGCACCTGTTGAACAGGCTCTGTGCCCTTCTCCCCACCACGGCATGGAAATGCTGGGGGAATTAGCTGATCTGGAGATCAAGCAGAGGAACAGGGAGGGCAAAGAAGAAGACACCGAAGGTGAGAAATCTATTTCATGCATCCATTACCTCTTTTTTCTGTACCCTTCCCGTCTACATGCATCAATGGTACCGATGGCCACTTGACTAAACTGCCTGGGAAACGGCACGAAAAGTTTGTGGGCACCAGAAGTACCAGAATGTGACCAAGCTATTTAAAATGACCACTGTTAAATTGGTATCGTTTATCTTTATAAAAGAAGACAATAACCAGATCACACAAGAAGAAAAAAACATTAACTTAACTTTTCCCCCCTTAGACATGCAGACACAAGATGACATGATAAGAGAGCAACACACAAGTACACAACACAAACACAAACACATACATATGTCTGGTGTTTATTGCTCAATGGAGAATGTCTATTTATACATATTCCCTCATCACTTATACTAAACGTATCCGTCAAAGCTGAATGCCCAAATCAAACCATGAACTTACTTTAACCTTGGCCAAAATTTGTATCCTGCTCAAAATCCATTTGAACAGGTGAGACTCAATATTTGGATCCCACAAAACACACAAAGGACCTCACAAACACAGCGAGATCCTCATTTGTGGAAGAACCCCAGCAAATGCAAAATTCTACAAACTGTCCTGTATCGTCTGGAGAGTGTGAATGGACGAGAGCAAGCTAAGCTTCAGACACAAGCCAGGACACACACACACGCACACACACACACACCCTGCCCAGTGTGTCCCCCAGGCTCTGGCATCTTGCTTTGCTAATTAGACCCTTTCCTTTAAAACACTTCTCCTGTAAGCGCTCCTATTTTCCTCTCGTCCCTCGGAGAGAAAGTGTTTTTATTTATGCCAGCATCTGCGTGTGTATGTTTTGTGTGCGATGTGCACGGCGGTGTGTGTGGCTAAGCTGTTAAGTAATCCCAGATGAATCCCTGCTCTCCTCCATCAGAGTTTGTGTCTCTCCACCAGGCTGCCTGCTCCCCGCGTGTATCTCCTCCCGCCTCTTTGTAATTTTTTCCCCCTTCACCACTTCTTTTTTTTTTCTTTTTTTCTTTCTTTTTTTTTTTTTTATTAAACCAATGTAATCTTGTGTGTAAATCCTGCCTCAGCAAGCCTTGTTGATGGAATTAATAAGTGTAAAAATCATAAGTCGCTCAGCTGCTGTCTGTGTGCGTGACAGAGATACAGGGGCGAGTGAGTGTGCATTTGTTTACATGTGCACGCACGTGCTTAGCATGTGTAATAGCTGTGAAATCAATACGTCCTGTCGTGGCATGAGAAACGCTCTCCAAATTACTACACGTTTATGGAAAACCACGGAGCACATCACTAATACCTCTGACTTGTTTTTCTTTCTTTTGTCATTGGGAGTGTGTTGGGGAGACTAAACCCATGCCAGACAGATAGATTTGCTTCAAGAGCTGCTTCAAGCTGAAAGTCACAATTACAAGTTCAAGAATCAACGTTACAGTCACATCTGTACGTGAAAGCACAACTTTTAGACAAACAGAGCAGCTGCAGCGTTCCCAACAGCATTTCCTTTGGATTGAAATTTTATCTAGACAAACATCCTAAATGGCTTCTAATAAGGACACGTCAACTCAAACGCTTTTTAATTTTGCTTCACTGTTTTTGCTCTCCTGCGGAATCCCCAGTGTCGCCTCTTATTACGCCCTCCAGCCCCCGTCAGAGACACAGTACGGTGTTATGGCTATGCAACGACGAGTGTGTGTGTGTGTGTGTGTGTGTGTGTGTGTGTGTGGTATGCTGTGGGCGGAAGATATGTATCGATTGTGGCCATCCTCCAGAATACAACCCCAGGCGTGGTGATGTCAGCGGTGATGTCATCCTGTCAGTGTAATTGGAGCGTGCCATTGGCTCAGAGGGCTGACAGACGAGATGGCATTGACCTCTGTGAGCCGGGACAGGACAAAGCCACATCCCCCCCGATTCTTTCCCGCTCTCCGAGGAGTTACCTGTCATCCGCGCATCCGTTGGCGCGCTCTCATTTTTCTGCTCTCAGACAAAGGCTCTCATCCTCCCTGCCCTCTTTCTCCCTCCTCCGTTCACCGCGTTTCTGCCTCCGTGGCCCCCTCGCACACAGGCGGGTTTTAATAACGTCAGATTTGGGGGCGAGCGGGCCTTGCAGCTCCAGTGCGCAGACTGTGAGTGATCCAGTGAAACCTCTCCTCCTCTCTTCATCTCCTCTCCTCGTCCTCTCCTCGAAGGGGAAATTGGATTCTGTCCATGTCCATAATGAGGAGATGTAGGAGAATAAATAGATAGCTCAATAAACACTTTGCCTCTTATTGCTTCTCCTCCCCCTTACTCCCCCCCCCCCCCCCCACCTCCCTTCCTCTCCCAGCCTTGCAGTCCTCCTCCTCCTCCTCCTCCTCTTACCACCCGCTGTTCTCCCTCTCTCCACTTCTCCCTCACATACTCTCACACAGTTTGCCCGTGTCTGCGAAGCTCAGCGAAAAATGCTGTGGATGCCTGTGTGTATTCAGAATGTGTGTGTGTGTGTGTGTGTTTTTTTTATTTTTATTTGCATAGGTTAGTGTGTGTGAATGTGGACCGTCTCATGAATATTCCCTTTCATCTGCCGGTGCTCTGACAATGACAGAGTTAATGACAGTGACAGATGTAAGGATCCCTCTTCCCCCCCCTTAGCGTGTTTGTCTGCGTGTACGATTAGGCACGAACACAAGTATATATCAAATAAACTGCACAACTAATATCATAAATGTCTCCACTTTCCGAGGCTTGGTTTCGCCGCTCCCGGAAATAAATCTGCGCGGCGCGCGACGTGTTTTACAACGCGCAGCACGCCAGTCTAACCCGAAACTATCCGTCCCCCGCGCAGGTGAGGAAATGCTGGCCTTTGACCTCCACAGTCTGGCCACGCTGGCGGCGGCCCGGGCCTTAGAGGCGGGGGGGAGGTCTGCGCACGGCGGGGCCGACCAGCAGTGTCCAATCAGGAAGAGGCTGAACCTGCGCAGGAAGTGCAGCTGGACTCCTCGGCATGAGCCGGTGAGGCTTCAGTCTCTGCACCGTGGACATGAGCTCAATTCACAATCACTTATTGATTCTGGGTTTCTAAATCCTAAACTATCATTTTTTTGTTGACTGCAAACAGGGAACTGTGATCATACACACATATACAAATGTAACACAATAAACTACCTGAAAAAGGAACAGTGATATTTATAAAAGTAAATTATTAATATAATTGAAAAACATGCTTTTTAGTCCCTGTTTATTCTAACCTGGTGGTGCCAGATGTTTCTTTCTTGAAAACAGTTCTCCAGAAATCTGCATTTTAGAGTAGATATTACTGGTTAATGGACCAAAATGCGTCAAGGATCAAACCTGCATGCTTCGGCTTTCAGGAAAGCCATCAACAAGCTGGCTGGTTACAGATTCAGCGGCTGTTTGAGTGAAGTTTGTGTCCTGCATTTAAATTCTTCCCTCTTTGTGCGTGTTTGTGTGCCTGTCAGGTGTGCCCGGTGAAGGGCTCCATTGAGACTATGGGAGGGGAGGAGCTGGCCATGCGTGTCCAGCTGGCTGAGCTACAGCGCCGCTACAAAGAGAAACAGAGAGAGCTGGCCAAACTACAGAGGAAACACGACCACCAGTGAGCAGAGATGACACACAAACATGCACGCGTGCACACACACACGCACTTTTTTGTCCGCACCAAACCATGCATTCCAGCATTCCCCGATTCTGCTTTATCCCCGATTTACCAGGACTCGCTGCCCGCTCATAGTTAATGCAGTTTGACCTGTAGCCGATACCCCTTCCTGATTCCTCCCTGCTGGTCTGACTGCATCTTTAATCCATCTCCTCGTCCTCCTCTTCCTTTTTTTGTCTTCCTCTCCGCAGGAAAGACGAGACGTCTCGCAGCCCGGCTCGCCGGGGACCCGGCCGCCCCCGCAAGCGCAAGTCCACCCCCGGCCCAGCTGCTGCCGAGAGCGCCAAAAGACTCAGGTCAGCGCTCTGATGCCGCGTCGGGATAATCAGTGTGATTGGCAAGCCCAGCTCATTCATCCTGATTTCTGTTTGTGTTTTTAGTGAAAGGCACAGTTGATTTTCAAGAAGTTCTTCTTCAGCTGAATTGATTCAAATGCTCTATAGCTGATGATTTGCTTGATTGGGCGCTGGAAGGAGCTGTTCACACACACACACACAGCGCACGCACACACACACACTTACACGCACACACACAATGGGATATACGATGGGAGCTGGAAGATGGGTGTGATTTTTAATGAGAAAAGGTAATGGAGATGAGGGCTTCATTTATCACCATTAATCACTTTTAATCATATTTATCACTTGTATTGATTATGTGCTGATTTTATGTGAACCTCCAGCATATATTAACACATCTGGACATGATCCTGATGTACAGTTATTACAGTGATAAATGACCTTACACCTCCCCCGCCTGCTGCAACACACATCCACGCATTATTTAACACCTTAGACATGCAAAGTTTCACACTGGCACACGTGCGCACGAGCTTAAAGCGCACGTGATCGCGCACAGCTACTATCCAGCACTCACAGTGATAAATGTGTTTCCTCACGATGCCCCGCGTCTGTTAGGACGTGCCCCCCTCGCCTTGATAAAATGATTAGAGAAACTCAAGGTTTGTCATGGTTGCGATGATTAGAAAGCGCTAATGAAAATGACAATGAAACACTCACACACACACAGGCACACACACACATGGAACTTGTTTAATTAGTGCAGCCAGTCTCTACGTGCCTGAGCAGCATTTCTGTTGTTATTAACAAGCGACATATCTTTTGCTGTAGCTTTCATCTTCTCACGAGCATCGGAGGTAAAACACAGCGGCAAAATAGCGAGAGATGAAGAGGAACAGTATCCCCCCCCCCCCCCCCCCCCCCCACCCCACACCAAACACAGACACGTT